TGATAGTTGTTTGGCTTATTTTGGTTGATGTCTAGTTTTATTTATGTGTTTTCTTATATAAAATCTAGCGTTTCGAAAAAAAAAAAAGATGTTAAATAAAAATAATTTTAATTATAATATTTAATAAGAAAATAATTCATAAAATAATAATAGATACTTACTGGAGATGAACAAATTTTTTTCAATAACCAATGTGTAGTAATAATTTATTTTTGATTTAACAATTGTATTAGAATTGGATAATATTATTTTATCGATTAAGGTATTTAGATAAATATATATATATATATCTTATTTTATTAATTTTTCTACACGTGATTTTACGGAATATATGCAGATACTGTTCTTCTTTACAGAAAGTAGATGTTACATTTTGCTAGTAATATTATATTATTATTTCAAAAACTGACACAATATTTTGTTCATATTGTCTAAATAATTCTAATACACTGGCCCACCTTCCAGTTTTTTCAGACTATCTTTTCAGCGTGTTCTGATATAGGCTACATTTTTCCATACTAACAGTACATAGTATAGACTGTATAGATATAGTATATATCTTTACTTCAAAACTGAATACAATATTTTTGAGAGATGTTATAGTCATGTGAATGATGCTTCTATCCTATTACAGAACTATTCGGCTGGATTTTGTAATCGTTGGATAAACTATCTCTGACGATTATATAATGATCCAACCGTTACAAATTCAAACGAAATAATTTCGTAACGAGAGTCGCATACCGTATCACAATAATACTAAAGAACCCAAATTGGATTCAATTCCCAAAAATTCTTCTTATCCAAAAGAGAAGGTAAAATATCTAAAAAAAAAGTCAAACAGGAGCAATATGTTGTTTGGCTTAAACTTAAATGCCTAAAGAGCACAAAGAATGTGATACCAAATAGCCCCAATGTATAACTGAATTGACAACGAATTGTGCTGAATTTTCTACAGAGTGCTTATCTAATTTGATTTTTCTGAATTATTTTTTGTGATAATTTTTGTACTATGTATATTCTTTTTCTTCTTTCTTTTGGAAGAAAATATTATGGTATCAATTTTGCGAAGGATTAGGATATATTTCATTTATAATATCCTTATTATTAGGAAAATATCAATAGGCCAAAGGTGGTACACAGGACAATTATGGCGGCTTTGACCTGTAAATGAGATTATTAATTTTAAATAGTCTAATTATACTTTAGTAGGTCGTGGAAT